AGAATGAAGAGATTTCAGGTATGGTAATGAATTTACTTTTGAATCGGCTGAAATTAATTTCCTGAGGACCTTTAATTACTACTACTATCAACATTTACTCATTGCCAGGCAGTACGTTGAGTGATGGATGTTAATTATTTCATTTAATCCTCATAACAACCCTGAAAGCTGGGACCATTATTTTCTAAAGTACAGAGACTGGAGCAAAGTACTTGCTCCAAACCATACATCTTAGTGAGTGATGGAGCAAGTCTTTAAACTCAAGCAGTTTGGCTCCAGAGGCTGTGATTTCTTTTAAGTGATGTCCAGTAAGCAGCTGTGTACATGAGTGTGGCATTTAAGATGTTTTGGGCTGGTGATTCAGGTTTAGCAATCATCAGCAAAAGGTGCTGGCTGAAGTCATGGGAATGGAGATGGGCTGAAGAGGGTGTTGAGTGCTGAGAGAAGACAACCAAAGTCAGAGCACTGAAGAACACGCAACATATTAATGATGAACAGAAGAGAAGAAATCCATAGAGGTGACTGAAGAGGAGCAGCTGGGATAATTGCAGGAAAAGCAAGCGAATGGGAGGGTTTGGGAGAAAAGAGAGTTCTCCACAGGATTGAATGCTACAGAAAGTGCAAGAAAGAAAGGACTGAAAAGTGTAGAATGAAATTAACCACAAGAGGATTGTTGGTGGCTTGGAGTGGGTAGTTGCAGTGGCACTGTGAACAGGCAACGAGATGACCATGGGTTTAGGCATGCACAGGAGTTACCGTCAATTCTATACTGGGCAAAAATCTGGGAATGCATGGATGAGTAAGAAATGACATCTGACCTAAAGGAGATTTCATGTTAAAGGTTAAAGAAAAAGACTGATATTTGCGATATCACATGACAAACTCATGGGTATATGCGAATGTCTAAGGTAAAATAGTGGCACAAAGAAGTAGGTGATCATTTGTGAGTGGCAGGTGGAGAATGAAGATCCAGGTTGGCTTTATAGAGCTGATGATGCTTGGATGGAGAACTAAAAGACAGGAAGGAGGGGCCTCCCTGGTGGCGCAAGGGGTTAAGACTCAACCTGGATGAGCTGTCAGCCTCTGCAGCACAAGTTGGATCCCCAGCTGAGAGCTGACCCATATTGGCACAGCAGACCTCTCCCATCTCGCCTGCTGCTCCCCTCAGCAGTGTACTTCAGTCTATCTGCCTGTTCTGTTTCCCGTTCTGTCTCTGGTGAATCCTCTCACCCCCACAGCTCTGGCCTGTACCCTGGCTCTTGTGTGCATAAGTAAATAAATCTTTAAAAAATAATAAAACTTAAAAGACAGGAAGGAGTTACTGGGGTGAGGGAAGAGCATTTCATTTCTGGAGCAGCATAACATAGTGTAATGTGGTAGGAAGCCAGGATGTTCAGCGTTTTAGGGAGCAGTAGATGAAATTGGAGAAGCATGTCAGATCATGGGTGTTTTTCTGGTGTTTGAATTTCAGAGTAGATCTGATGACGAGCCACTAAAGGGCTTTGAGCAAGGAAAAGAAACCACATTTACATTTAGAAAGATGATGGAAGCAGAAAAGCAGATGGAAGGTGGAGTTGCGGGGACTAGTCTGGAAGCTGGGAAGCAGTTAGAGGACAAAAACCATGGCTTCCTTTCTTAATAGTTTGCTGAGGCTGTCATAACAAAATATCACAGGTTGGGTGGCTAAAACAAGAGAAATTTATTTTTTCTATGTCCAAAGGCTAAAAGTACAAAAAGCGGGCCTCCCCGGTGGCGCAGCGGTTGAACACTGGGTTGTGAAGCTGTCCGCTGCCTCTGCAGCGCCAGTTCGATCCCCGGCTGCTCCCCGGCCACCGGAGGAGGGTCCCACATGGCGCGCAGACCTCTCCTGCCGCCCGCTGCTCCCCTCAGCAGTGTACTTCTGTCCTTCTGCCTGCTCTGCTCCCCGCTCTGGCTCTGGTGAATTCTCTCACCCTCCCGCGCTTCTGACTGTACCCAGTGCTTGTATAAATAAATAAAACAAATCTTTAAAAAAAAAAAAAAAGAATGCACAGCACAATTCCATTTAAAAAAAAAAAAATTAAAAGTACAAAAAGCACAAGATCGAGACAGGTTGGTTTCTCCTGCAGCCTCTCTCCTGGGTTTACAGATGACCACCTTTTTACTGTGTCCTCACATGACCTCTCCTCCCTCTGTGTGACTGCCTGGCATCTCCTGTGTGTCCAGGTTTCTTCTCATAAAGATACCAGTTAGACTGGATTGGGGCCCACCCTCATTTTAATTTAATCAGAATTCAGTCCATATAACTTTGCATTAGTGATGAGTGAGGAATGGGATCTGGAGACCACAGACAGAAGATTTTAATTTCTTTCCCATCTTATCATCAGGAAAGAACCAACTCATCATCTGTAAAAGTTGTCTGTAAACTAGGCGTTGTGATTTGTTAATAAAGACTACTTTTATCTAAGTCCTTGATACCCAGCAGGCCTGAAGCAGAGGATACTAGCACTGCTTGACATAATGAAGGATAAATGAATGAATGTGTTATCTGCAGTGGTAATGCTCATTGAACTGTGGCTGCCCTTAGCCTCTCAGAAAAGAAGAGTTGTAGAGCAAGATTTGCCTGCTGTGTGACAGGGTCAGAAAGCATTTAGTATTTTCATTTCAAGTTATTGTTAGATTTTTGTTTCCTAGGGATCAGGAGCTCCCTGAGAACAGATCTTCTACATCTTTAAGTGTGCAGGATTCCAGCATTAACCCAGTTCTTGGCACAGAGGATATATACCTTGGCGGTTTGTGGAATGGAAAAAAGTTTTATGGGAAGAAGCTGTAACCTTGCATTTAGGTTCATAAGCCCTCTTTTTTTTTTTTTTTAAAGATTTATTTATTTATGCATACAAGAGCTGGGTACAGGCCAGAGATGCAGGGGTAGGGGTGTGAGAGGATCCACCAGAGATAGAGTGAGGAACAGAACAAGCAGATTGACTGAAATGCACTGCTGAGGAGACAGGAGAGGTCTGCTTCGCCATGGGTTGCTCCCTGGCGGGCTGGGGAGGCTGTGTGTTGCTTAACCCCTTTGCCCCACCAGGGAAGCTCCAAAAGCCCTCTTTGTAGTTCAGTATGTATGCATTCCGCCCCCCCCCCCCCCCCCCCCCCCGTCCCTTCTCAGTGTCTGAGGCAATGAAACTTGAGAAAATAGCAGCTATCAGCTGAGAACTTCCTCATCTGACTGATACATCTACAATCTGATTTATACCTTCTTCTTCTTTATTGTTTCAGTGGAGAAATGTGCCTTTTCTAGTAAAGGCCAACATGTACAAATATGCTCAGGAGCCTACCCTATCACCTTTTTAGTAACAGAACTTCAGCTATTCTCTTCTTTTAGCTCCCTTCTCCTCCTCCTTAAACATATTCTAATTTTCCATGGTAGAGAAAAACCTCCCTTTTTAAAAATATTTATTTATTTATTTTTGTGTAGAAGAACTGGGATGTAGGCCAAAGGTGCAGTGGTGAGAGGATTCACCACAGAGAGTGGGGAGCAGAGCAGGAGCACTTGCTGAAATACACTGCTGAGGGGAACAGGGGGGAGACAGTTGCTCCCGGGCTGTCGATAGCTTGGTAACACTAAGACTTTTAAACCCTGTGCCACTAGGGAGGTCATCACAGCACCCTTTGCTGGTTTCTCCTCCAACCTACGTCTGAAACAGCATCTCTCAAATGTCTGGCATCCTCATGCCACTTTGCGAGTATCCTTTGTACCCAGGACCACCAGTTTTAGATGTGTTTAAAATAAAGATGAACACTGTTTTGTATCAAGAGATGCTCTTGGTACATGCTACTCTTTCTGCCTGCAATTCTTTTTTGTCCTCTTTGCTTGACTGGATCCTTGTAATCTTTTAGGTCGACTCCACAGACAGGCCCGTTTCTCTTTGACAGGAAGCTGCTTTCCCCCCACCCCCATCATCATAATGTTATAGGACAGCCCCGATATTGAACCGGTTCCTGGCCTGGGGTGGGGGTGGAGTCCACAAAGTCTGTATGGAATTAGCTTTAGGACATCCTTTTCCCCCTAACAATAATAAAGAGTAAATGATTTTAAAATGTGTTGAACCTGTTCTAAATTGTATCTACATTGTCTCAATTAATTTAATCTTCACAGTAACATCCTGCCTGTAGAGAACAATTATGATAAGCTCCATGTTGTAAGTGGGTAAACAAAGGCATGGAGTGGCAGAGCCGGGATTTCCAGCCCAGGCAAAAGGGCTTTAAAGTCCATCACCTTAACGGTGCTGGAGGATTCATCACAACTTATACTGCTCTATTTATGACTTCTCTTTAGTGACTGCCTCCCTCTCTAATCCTCAAAGTCTGTGGGAGCTAGGACTCTTTCTAAAAGGCTAGAGGTTAGCTCCAAGAGCATACCTGGCACAGGAAAAGTGCTCTGGTATTTGTTGAATAAATGAATCAGTACTTTATAAGCAAATTCTAGACTGGGAGGAATCGGGAGCTCCTCATACTCCCCATACTCCACGAGACCTTATAGAGGCCGTTTTCGTCCTGCCTTGACTTCCCACCCAATCAATCAGGGAAACCAGGGAGGAGACCCAAGCCGGGTCGAAGGTTGAAGAAGGCGCAAGACTAGGAAAATGGAGGCGGGACACGGAAACCAGAGCGCTGTTCTTTGGTTTCCTCCACTGGAAGATGGCACCGAGCGGGACAAAGGGAGACCCTGCGTTTTTCTCCACTTCGGAGTGGTGCTGAAGCCTCAAGACATCGGCTCCTATTTCTGACCGTGAAAGACACGCGAGGAGCAGGCAGGTCGCGACACCGCACGAGGCGGCGCAGCCCGGGGACAGCAGAGGGGCGGGGCGGGGCGTGGCCGCCGGCGGGGGCGGAGTCCGGGCCCAGGCCTCTGTAGGCCACGCCCCCGCACCGGCGGAAGCAGGCTAGTTCTCGCCTTCCAGGCCGGGGCGGGTCCCCGCGGGCGCACGCGCGCGCACGGCATGCTGGGAAGGCGCCCGCGCGGCGGCCATTTTGTCTTATCGGCTCCTCTTTAGAGAGGGTTCTCGGCCTGCGAGCAGGCCGATTAGGTTGGCGACAGTGTCGCTGGCGTTTTCTTTGGTGGGTGCCAGGGCTGGTGGGAGCAGCCGCCCGAAGAAAGCACCATGATTTCGGCCGCGCAATTACTGGATGAATTAATGGGCCGGGACCGTAACCTCGCCCCGGACGAGAAGCGCAGCAACGTGCGGTGGGACCACGAGAGCGTAAGTCCCGCGGGCCTGGGGCCTGTGCCCGGGCGCCGTGGGGGAGGGGAGGCCGGGAGGGGAGCTGCGCGGGCCGGGCCCCCACCTGCGCCCGCGGCGCGATTTGGGGCCCGGGCTGCGCCGGGATTGGGTGTGTGACCCGGTGGCTGAGGGTGCCGGGAGAATGGCCGGGGAGGGAGGAGTCCGCCCGGCTGCTCGGAGGGGGGATGACTTGTTTTTGTTGTCTGGTATGGTGCAAGCCAGAGAGCTCCCCAGCGGACTCGAAGAGCACTTTAATGAGACAGGGGAACGCGGGAAAGGACGGATAGGAGCATTTTATTAGGTTTAGAGGCTCCCGAGTTTTCGCCTCCTCGTGATATAGGGGGGAAAGGGCAAAATGCTTCCGTTATTTGGGTTGAGTGTGTTTTCAGGCTGAGATTTCTGGCCAGAATCAGTGGTTAAAATAGTGGCAGTGTATTGTTTCACTAACGGTTCGGTTCCGACCCCTATGGGAAAATGAAAATTTAGAAGAGGGCTTAATTTAATTTGGTATGGCTTACCATGATGGTTGGTAAACCATCTTCCTGTAGGTTGGTCGTCAAGACATTCTTTAACGTAGAACGCATTTTGTCCTCCTAACCCTGTGAATAAGGGTAAATATTTTAACCCTAGTTTCACAGATGAAGCTCTCACTCATCTGTGAAACGATGAGCTTAGTTTCTTAGAGAAACTAACCCTGATCTCTCTTCCTGTTCACTTACCACAGTTCTGTGACATTTACTTTGCAAATACCGTAAGGTGTTTCAAACTGCAATGTAATGTTTATTACAGGTCCTTTTAGTGGGTTTTTTTTTGGTTTGTTTTTTGTTTTTAAATATTTATGCATACAAGAAGTGGGGTACAGGACAGAGGTGTGGGGGGTGGTGTGAGAGGATTCACCGGAGACAGTGGGGAAGAGAACAGGTGGATTGACTGAAACACACTGCTGAGGGGAGCAGCGGGAGAGTCAGGAGAGGTCTGCTTCACCATGTGGGTAGCTCCCTGGCCGGGGATCGATCTCCTGCTGCAGTGGCTGCAGATAGCCTCATAGGTTGCATCTTAACCCCTTGCACCACCAGGGAGGCCCCCTTTTAGTGACTGGTGTTGTATTGGGATGCTGATTCCGAAGTAGTATGAAGTAGTATGGTAAAATTAAATTAATCGTTTGTGGTTTGTCAAATTCATACTTTTGTCATTAACTTGAAGAGAGGTGAAACTTTCTTTCTTTTTTTTTTTTTTTAACTTTTTTCCCTACCAGTCAAAATGGGAAATAAAAACTTTGTTGCTAGTTTTGTCGGTCTTTCCTAGCTAGTCTTTTGTTATAGTGAAGTAACATTTTACCACTGTCTGAACTTTGAAAAATAAAATTACCATTCAGTTGATGTACAAATCGGACACTTATTTTGAATTGGAAAACTGCTTTTGATTGCCTATCATCATTGGGGCAACCTGTGTCTACCTTTTTGGTTTTAAACATGTTTAGTGAAGAAACATTTCCTGGTGGTATTTTATTACCACACTGCATTATATTTGTAGTGGGTTTATAACATAAGCAGTGAGGGTCACAATATCAACTTAGAGTTTGTGTCATCTCAGCTATAAGAAATCTGTTTTCCTTTCAGTTTTAGTGCTTCTTACTGATTCATACTTTTTTCCGTGTCACCAAAATATTTTATGCTTTTAAGGACAGATTGCACTTTAATCTACATTCAGGTTTTGGAAAATTCATTTGCTGGTATTTCAGATTCACTTCTGGAAATAAGTTGGTGAAGTTCACCAGGAACAAAGCACATGGCCTCTTCTGAAGTTGAATTTCTATAGGGCGTAGTAGAGCTGAGAAAGCTTGTGACATCACTTCCGGGTTTGCAAATTCTTGTGCTGTTGCCTGTTCATGCTAAAATCCCAGAGAAATGGGCAGATTCAGCTGATACTGTATAAGGCTTTCACCATCACTAACCAGGCATTTCAAAAATCTTATCTGGAAAATTTTCTTTGACACTCTTGCACTAGCTTGGAAATGCCATTTCAGCTGGGTGGGGCCTTTTGTTTAACAGTGAAAGGAAAACTATCAAAAGAGTTCAGAGTAGTTCCGGTCTTTTTGTGATAGGCCTGTAGAATTTGTTTTAAATGCAGATTTCTGTCCACTCCACCACCAACACCTACTCCCCATTCTGATTTCTTGTGTCTGTGGAAAGGCTCCAGAAATTGCATTTTTAAAAAAGACCTCTTAAACACTGTAAAACTTGTTATTCTACCACTTCCTGACCCACCTGATTGAGTCCTGAGTTTTAAATTGAGCACTAGTAACACTTGGGAGAAGTTCTGTTGTAAGGGAAGGATGCATCTGTGATGCAAATTATTGACCCTTGATTTGTTGGTAATGATGTACCTGTAGCCACTATCAAGGTTGTGTCTTCGAAAGCGCTTTACTGGGCTTAGTACTTTACAAGCCTTTCCAACCTTGTAGATATCTACCTCTTTTCCTTGAAATTCTTGATATTTTTACATTTAGCAATTAATTGGTTTTGCTTTGTTTATCCTAAACAATCACAGTAAAGAGGAAAATATGGGTTAAACTGCCTAATGTGAGTATGAGCATCTTTCAGTTAGTGGCTAAGGAGATTTCAGTATTTGCTAGAGAAGGCATTAGTACCATATACTAATTACCTGAAGAGTTCAGATTGTAGGGCATTGTAAAGGCTGATCTAGCTCACTTGTTATTTATATACAATAAGAGGAATGTTGTCATTCTGATTTTGTATTTCCATATGAAGTTGTTACATTGTGGCTCTTTACCCAAAAGTGAGCATTGTTAACTCTGATAAGATCTAAAATTAAGATTTCTTTCATTATTTATCAAATTCAGGTATGCTCTCTGTTCAGTGAAGGTTTAATAATTTATGAAGGAAATGAAACGTTTTTTTCTAGACCCTTCAGAATGCTGATATTGTTATCACACTGAAACTATTATTTCCTTAATCTCTGATTATTTTAGGAAAAATGTGTAGGGCATGTATATCATTAGACTTGATTTCTTCACAGGAGGAGAAAGTAGTCTAAGTTAGTAATACAGTGCTTCATTGTTTTATAAAATGTTAATTTTTCTCATCATTTATTACATGTAAGTTGGGGGAATTACTATACTCATGCAACCAAAATGTATCACTCTTGTGATAGGCTAGTATGCAGCAGTTGCCCTGTGGAACCATTGCAGTCTAGTAGCCGATTTGTAATAAATGTGCTTTTGGTAACAGTAAGTGCCACCGTGGGGAAAAGTATTGGGTCTAAAAAAGCAGCCATATGTGGGACACCTACTTCAGACTGACATACTCAGATACTCAGGAAAGACTTCTCAGAGTGGATCTTAAATATCTAAAGGATTAACCTGAGGCAATAGAAAGAAGACTGATGTTACTAGGGACTGGGAGAAAATTTGGGACCTATTTTTTTTTTTTTTAAAGATAGATTTAAACAAATCTTTATGCATACAAGAACTGGGGCACAGGCCAGAGGTGCAGGGGGTGAGAGGATTCACCAGAGACAGAGTGGGGAGCAGAACAGGCAGATTGACTGAAATACACTGCTGAGGGGAGCAGCAGGCGAGTCAGGAGAGGTCTGCTGTGCCATGTGGATAGCTCCTTGGCAGGGTCTCGAACTCGAGCAGTGGCTGTGGACAGCTTCCTTCATAGGTTGCATCTTTTTTTTTTTTTAATTTAAGATTTATTTATTTATACAAGCACTGGGTACAGTCAGAAGTGTGAGAGGGTGAGAGAATTCACCAGAGCCAGAGCAGGGAGCAGAGCAGGCAGAAGGACCGAAGCACACTGCTGAGGGGAGCAGCAGGCGGCAGGAGAGGTCTGTGCGCCATGTGGGACCCTCCTCCAGTGGCCGGGGAGCAGCTGGGGATGGAACTGGTGCTACAGAGGCTGCGGGCAGCTTCGCAACCCAGCACTCAACCGCTGCGCCACCGGGGAGGCCCAATAAATCTTTTTTAAAAAAAAGTTGAAACTAAGTTAGATAGGGAAACAACTGCCATCTTCTAGACAGGAGACATGTTTACTCTCTAGCTGCTGTGGAAAACTAAAATTTTACAAAAGTTTGTGTAGGCACTAAGAAGGAGAATTAACTGAGTGCAGAGGTATTGCAATAAAAAGGCATGGAAATTAATGACTAGAATGTGTAATCATAATACATTCAAAGCATAAAAGAGTATAGGTTGTCAGGGACTGAATCCTTTGTTACAAATTCTTACATTAAATTTTTTCTCTTGGGGTTTATCTTTAAAAAACAATGAACTTAACCTCTTTAAAAAGAAACATTTGCTTCTAGCCTATTGTCAGTTAAACTAATAATTGTGGAGGTGACTAAAGACAAAAGAAAGTGATCTTTTTTCCCAGCAGTAAAATTTCTAGGTATACCATAGTTCAAATTTAAAAGCATATATGATGGGGCCTCCCTGGTGACTCAGGGTTAAAGTCAACGCTATCAAGCTATCGCCAGCCACTGCCCTGAGTTCAATCTCCAGCCAGCAAACCTCTCCTGTCTCTCCTGCTGCTCCCCTCAGCAGTATATTTCAGTCGGTTCACCTGTTCTGTCCCCTGCTCTGTCTGGTGAATCCTCTCACACTCCCCCACCCCCCACCCCCACCCCTGCACCTCTGGCCTACACACCAGCTCTTGTGTGTATAAATAAATAAAATAAATCTTTTCTAAAAAATGTCACTATTGAGATGATCAGAATTGGGAATTTAGTGGGAATTTAATGAATATGTTATCTTACAACATATATAAAATGGAGCTTGGTATCTGGAAGAACCAAATACCAATCCAAGGTTGATAGTAATTTAGAGCACCAAAAGAAGCTCTACAGGAAAATTTTCTAGTCACCTTGAATTAGGTGTCTGTAAAGGGATTTATGTGTGATTTAATGATTTGAAGACTAGTTGTGAATAGTCATCTTGAATTAGGTGTCTGTAAAGGGAT